CCAAATTCAGGGGTTATTAGATTATTGACTGAAAATAAGAGAAGAGAGTATTATGGTGCTGTTGTGTAGACTTAGAATGTAGACACTTAAAATATTTTGTAGTCTTCTGGTCGGCTCATGAAAAGATGGGTAGGGCACATGTGTCAGATAGGATGCACAGCTTCTGCGTTCCTGGTATAAGCCTTGGAAGGAGTCCTGCGGTTCAGGGGACGGCTACTAGGGAGTGTAGACATTTCTGAGCTAGATGAACCACTGATCTGGTGAGAAAAGAAAGCTTTGTAGGTGAAGAAGATGTCAGAGGGGTTAATGATTTAAAAGAAAAAAGAAAAACAAACACTGCCTTGAAAAACAAACACCGCCATGACCATTTTGAGAATTCCATTCATAATTTTTCTACCATGTGTTTGAGGCAGTGAATTTTATCCACAAAAGTTTGCATTGAATGTTTGAATCTTAGTGGTCTAAATCAAAGTACCGCCTCTTCTACTTTTGCATTGTGTAAAGGACCACAGGCGATGTCTGGTGTTTTTTTTTTTTTTTAAAGAAACACAACCTGATAGTTGTAAAACTATTTTCCTTATGAGAAAGAAAAAAGTTTAAAGAGCTGAATGTCTAAGGTCTATATGAATTGTGTGCTGCAGAAAATATGCAAGAAACAGACAAAAAAGGACAGCAGGAAGGAGATGAAAATGGGTCTCTCACAAGATGTAGAGAGAGGGATTCAATATGACTTAAGCAGAAAGTAGATGAGGAAATGATGCAAGTGTCTGGGGTAAGAGAGACAGAACAATTGGAGGGTTATTCATGGGGGCAGTATCCTATATATCTGGCCCCTCTTGCTCCTCATGCCTTTCTCCTGACATATGTTGTTTTAATTTACTTCTGAGAGATAAAAGTCCTCATGTCACAACATTTAGCATGTAAGCTGTGTGCTGCTAAAACTGTGTATTGCTAAAGTATGTTCAGGCCTTGGAGTAGTGGGAATATTTTGCAAGTCTTTCCTAGATTTCTCCTCACCCATTGCTGATTCCTCTAGAATTGACATGTAGGTTTGCTTCAGTTCCTTACCCTTTCTTTCTTTCTTTCTTTCTTTCGTTTCTCCTGACCCATTGTTGATTCCTCTAGAATTGGCATGTAGGTTTGCTTCAGTTCCTTCCTTCCTTCCTTCCTTCCTTCCTTCCTTCCTTCCTTCCTTCCTTCCTTCCTTTTGACACTAGTATACCTCATGTTCAGAACATTTTCTTCTTCATCATATTTTCTGCTTTTGTGTATTTTAGTTAGGACAAGAGACTGTAAAACTGTCTTCCCTTGTAAATTTTGAACTCGGAGCAGTGAGGTTCTTTGATTTATTGATCTCAGCCAGTCAGTTCTAACCCAGTGAATGAGGACAGGTAGATGTGGAAGCCTTTCTAAGTGGGTGTGTAAGGCACATCAAGGGAATTTCCACAGTGAGTACATTGCAGGAGCTAGACAGAAAGGTGAGGCACTGAGTCAGAAAAGGACTGGAACTGATTAAAGGCTGCATGACAGACTTGTAAGTATTATAGCTTCCTCACAAGGCACCCTGGGAATTGTAGTGGAGATTGCTTATGTGGCATGATCTCTAGCCGAGAATACCTATTCACCTCTGGGAAACTCATTCAGTTAAATAGAGGTTTTCACAAACCACTTCATTCCATAATTATACCCCATGACTCCCTTGTTAGAATGTCACATTATTCACAGTTTTAAGTGGTTTCAGCATGGTTGTCTAAGGGGAACGTAACCCTGTTCAGCTAGATTCTATGCAATGTGTTTGGAAGTAAGGACTACTGTAAGAATCACCTCCTGTTCCACCATATGAATGCTTTGGCATTTTGTGTTGTATTTTAATGTGAACAGCCCCCTCTAAGATAAGTTTATTCTGCTGTTCCTTTTGCCAGAAACACAGCTGTATTTCAAATCTTAAAGTAAAAATAAAATGTTAAAATAAGTGTTAAAATAAACAAAGCCAGATGTGCAGGAGAAAGCCTTCTGTTGTTAGATACCATAGTGGTGCTAACAGTGATCCCAGCTTGCGAACAGGGCCTCCAGATAAGTGTGGGACAACCAGGGCTTTGTCCGAGGATGTCAAAGTTTTTGGTGTAGTCGTTAAGTCATGTCCGAATCTTTGGTGGTGTGGGACAACCAGGGCTTTGTCCAAGGATGTCAAAGTTTTTGGTTTAGTCGTTAAGTCATGTCCGAATCTTTGGTCAAAGTTTAGAAGGTGCCAAAATCTACTAGTGACCAGTGGCATAGCATGGGGGGGAGGGGCAATTGCCCTGGGCACCAAATTCTTAGGGGCGCAAAATGAAAAAAGAGTGGACCGTTGGTCCAGATAGGTGGGATAAAAATCAAATAAATGAATAATAAATTAAATTTTTAAAAATAAAGTAAAATAAACCCACATTACATCACTTTTTGCCACCCCAGCAAGACAGGCACCATCGAAGGCCAGACACAGCGCTTTCCAATCCCAGGGCAACCCGCTCTCATGCTCATCTTCTCCAGACGTCACTCCATGCTGCAGATTCAGATCCCTCCCTCTCTTCCTCCCTCCCTCCCTCCTCCCCTCCCTCCTGCCTGCACACATACCTCTGCTTCAGTCAGGCTCCCTTTCCATTCTGCTGTTTTCTCACGCAGTCCAGGCACTGGTGAAGAGAGCTCACTCATTCCCGGCTCTGAGAGGAAAGGATGGGAGGAGGCGCCCGGCTTTGGCTTCGCTCTTTCCCTTCCACGGGTGCCCTCAACCACCCTCTCTGAAAAGGGGGGGGGGATGTTGCATGGGATAAGGAGGAGAGAACAGGCAAGAAGGCTGCTGTGGCATGTGAACAACCCAAGCCAGGCACTCCACACAGGCTCCAGCTTTTTCTGAGTGGGGGAGACACAGTGCAGGCTCCCTCAATTACTCTGCTCCTTCCCAAGAACTGGACAGCAGCACCTGGTGCTGGTGGAAGGGATTGAGGGAGTGCTAATGGCCCACAGGTTAGGGGGGGGTGCAATACTTGCCTTGTCTCGGGTCTTGGCAACCCGCACTACATCACTGCTAGTGAGTGTTAGGAAAATATGTCTTCTTGTCCTATTTCCTTTTGTTTAAGGGACCTTTCTCTTTTAGGGGACACCACATTCTGCTCCTCCTTTCTTCATAGAGGCTTGTATCCCACCCTCAGCTCAGAACGAGTGAGAGACAGAGCCATTTGGCCCAGATACACACATCTCTATCATGGTGATTACTAACTCATTGAGATTGACTCCCCTGCTGAATCAGGCAGAGAATTATGACTATCTGCGCATTAGTTTTCGGCCTGACTCAAGCACAACAGGAAACCAAATAGTTAATGAGCTAGAAAACACTAATCACCACTCCTTTTTCCTTTCTTCCACTCACCAAAAGGAGCTTGAATAATCTTGCATCCAATCTGAAACGAGGCTTGGTTTCCCCATGATAGCTGAAATTGAGGAATTATAGTTTGTTTAAACTGCTGTGAACAAGTCAAGATGAAACAGTGGTTTCAGATTCTGGTTAATTATCAAATCATGGTTTAACCAAACCATAGTTTTCAATTTCTGGGAATTGTTCTTAGTTTTAAAACAGAGATAGACACTTTTGTTCTCTTTTCTGTGGACATGAGAAGGGATGAGCCCAAGTCTGAGGCTTGCCATGGCTCTTTCACATGGCAAGAAACCACGGAGTTCTTGTACATTTGAATCTGGTGTTTTGTAAGGCTCTTCTTAAGTGATATTACACAATGCTTCATCTGACCTCTTTTCTTTAAGAAACTGGCCAGATGTATGTTATGCTGTTCTGATTTCAGTTGTATTCATCTCTCATTTAGATGCTAGGTTTTAGAATATGATAATTTTGGAGAGAATCAATAGGGAAAGAATATTTTGAAGAATGTATTTGTTGGCCTGTAATAAAATAAAGCCTTAGTATTCCTGCATTTGAAGTAACAAGTTCTTGTCCCACGAGACTCTGTCAGGAGGCAAGGTTAAAATTGTTGGAATATTTTTCTTGAACTATGGCCTTGACAGGCTGAAAAGCTGTGTGTATGTAGTGCTTTCCTTTCCATTTATCCTTTGCTGGTGTGATAGTTCAGTGACAGGACTCACAGAGTCAGAAGCAAGCAGGATCCTGACAGTCTGGTGGTCAGATTCCAAAGATCCAGGGGCACTAGATGTAGTCTAAGAGAGTGGTTTTTTTTCAACCTTTGGCTTGCTAGAAGTTTTGAACTACATTTCTGAGGAGACTCAGCCAGGGATTTTGAGAGCTGACTTGAGAATGTTTGGAGAGCCAAAAGTCAAGAACTACTGGACTAAGGAAGACTGGAAAGTTTGTTTGTGGATTTATGCCTCACTTTTAAATCAGAATCTTAGGATCTAGAGTACGCAGATGAGATTAGGCAAGTCAGGACTCAATTTGGCACCCCTTTATCATGGACAAGATGCTTAAACTAAGGAAACAAGTCTGGAGCGACATGTGGATCAGAACATCTGGGTGTTTATTGGTTGCCCAGGTTACTTGTTATGAAAAGCCTGACAAAGCCTTGTTGTTGTTTGGGTCAACTTCATGTTGGTAGCTTTGGTGACACTGTCCAATCATCTCATCCTCTGTCTTCCCCTTCTCCTCTTGCCTTCACACTTTCCCAATATCAGGGTCTTTTCCAGGAACTTTTATCTTCTCATGAGATTGCCAAAGTATTGGAGCCTCAGCTTTAGGATCTTGTCCTTTAGGCAAAGCCTTAGTACTACATATTTGCAGGGAGAGGAGGTGGCACTGCAGCACATCAGAGGTCAGGCTAGGAAGGCCTAAGAGAAAAGGACATAGACACTGCCACTGGTTTTGGTGGTGTGGCCAGACCAAAAAAGATGACAGAGCTCCTTCATTATTAATGGTGCGGGGAGGGGTTTTGCAAGATATAGTCACCCCAGTGCCTGACACTGTCAGTGTGTGAAATAACATATGTTTTCTGTCATTCCAGATAAATTACTCAGCCCCCGTGGTGGACAACAGCTGTCAAAAGAAGCCCACATATATCACTACTGATAGCTTCAGGGTGGACCTCTTCCATGGACGTATGTCTCAAGTGCTGCTGACCTCCATCTTTGTCACAGTAATAGGTGAGGTGACTGTGGCTCACCTAGGCACCTCAGAAGGACGTGTTTTGCAGGTGTGTTAGATTCAGAATTGTAACACAGCACTGTATCTGTTAATGTGTGCTTTAAAATACGTTCAACTACATCACCACATGTTTCAATGTATTTTTATGTTTATATGCTTTTGTGTTATATGCTTTTAAAGCCATATGGCTGAAGGGAAAACCAATTACTTTTAGGAAATGTATACATTGCAAGTGCAAATAAATCCATTTGCACATATTTTTTTCTTTTCCAAGAAAAAAAAATCAATATACTTTTTATTTAAGAGGACCAGATTTTAAATACGGAATTCTGAACACTATTCAAAATTATAATTCCCAGTGTTGTAATAATTCTGGTTCAGTTCCTTTGGCATTCCAACTTTTTGCAATACCTAAAACAGGGAGAGAAATATATCACAAACACATGGAAACATAGAATAGAATTAAGAGTCCGGTTTATTTAACCTGCAGGTTAGGAGGCAAACGGGTGGTAACTAGACATGGGGATGAATAAAATAACTGATCACGATATTCGTCAAAATTGCTGATTCATTAAATATTCATGCCTTCATATTTGTGGGTTCCAGAGACTCCCATGAATACGAAGGGATGAATATTTCCCTATTTGTAATCATCCCCCATAGGCTAGCCTTCCCTCACTTCCTATGGCTTTCCCATTTTGCCTACTGGCCCACCGATCATCTGATTGGTGAGCCAATAGGCAGCCAACCACTTCCACAACTTATCATCTGCTCCCTTCTTCTCCCTAACTTAGCCACTGCCCCCTCGCTGCCACTCCCCTCCACCATAATCACCGCCATCGTCTCCAGCTGGCCCCTGCAGCCACGGCCTATAGAAAGGGACACTGGCTGCCCTTTGCAAAGATGGCAGCTGCAGCTTCAATTAGGGAAAGGACACTGCAGCTGCCATCTTTGCAAAGAGCAGCCTGGATTCCCTTAGCCTGCCTGTTTTTTTTTTTTTTTTGTAACCTCCCTTCCCCCCCCCCCCGAATTGACAAATAAATTTGTGGTTCATCAGTTCATGGGGGGGGAGCTTTGTGCTTCATTAACTTTTGTCATGAGTGCAGCTGAAGATGGAACCTGAAGGGTTAACTGTAGCTGAGGAGAATGCTGAGCAATCAGAAATACAAACACCTGAATCACCTCCAGATTCTCCTCCCTCAGTAGACAGGCTTCGGGCCAGGCTTCGGGGAAGACTTATGACAAAAGGGTCAGAGGATCGCTTGAAAGCTGCCCGCAGAAACATCCGATCAAATAGCCCTGAGTTCTGACAGGATGAAAAGGCTTCCAGCAGTTCAAGGGCTGTTTTTATTATATAAACAGCTCTCAGATGGCTGAAAATCCGTGGAAGCAACAAGTTAAACCTCTGGCTTGCATCCACGCTCCTGACATCCTTGAACCTTGTTCCCTGGACCCTTGGCTTTGGACTCTGACCCTGGACTACGTTGTGCGTTTTGGCTTTGGACTCTGACCCGGGACTATGTTGTGTGAGTTGGCTTTGGTATTTGGATATCGACTCTGCATTCCCTGAATTCCTGACATAGGACTGGCTTATCGGACTCTGCTGTTGTAACCCCTGGGAACGTGACAACTTTGACGAATCATGAAGCAGGACGACTTGCCAAAATGGGGAGTCCTCCCCATCTTTAGTGGCAACCCAAATCAGTTGGTCTCTCCAAATCTAGTTTTCAAAGAGCTTATAATGGCTGGTAGTCAAGTTGCATTAAGCAAATACAGTGGTGCCCCGCATAGCGAGGTTAATCCGTTCCGGATTAATCTTCGCTATGGGAAAACATCACTAAATGGAACGGAAAAGCCCATTGCAGCCGGGCCCAAACTCACCGTTGAGCGAAGTTTCCCCATCCGGCCGCCATTTTTGCGCCCTCAGTAAGTGAGGGCAGGGCGCGAAAACGCTGCGTGTGGCCATTTTGGTTGTTCCGGCGGCCATTTTGGAACCGCCGATCAGCTGTTCCCCCGACATTGCAATGCAAAGATCGGTAGTCAAAGTTTCACTCATGAGACTAAATACACTAGAATGAGTTGTCACTGTTTAAATTATGATGAATCATATTGAGTTATTGTTTTTGTAGGTTTTTCTGGCTGTCTGGCCGTGTTCTTGAGGTTTTCTTCCTAACATTTTGCCAGTCTCTGTGGCCAGCATCTTCAGAGGACAAGAGTCAGAACTCTGTCTGTACTCTGGTGCAGTTTGTGGGATAATTGAGTATTTATAGCTGTGGGATCAGCATTTTGTCCTTTTCAGGAGAATGGGTGGTTATGGTGATCAGTTTTTTGTTGTGGATATATTGTTGGGATAAGGGGAGGGGGAAAGATGATCTGTCACTGTGATTCATGGGTGTTGTTAGCTGGTCTTTTGTGTGCAATGATCACTGGTCCTTATGGTTGGGTACAGTTCGTTGACCTTTTGCAGATTGTGTTTTTCAGGTCTGGGAGCCAGGTTTTCTTGAGTTTTAGACTTTCTTCTTTTTTGTTGAAGCTCTGCTGGTGTTTGTGGATTTCAGTGGCTTCCCTGTGCAGTCTAACATAATGATTGCTGGTGTTGTCCAGTACTTCTGTGTTTTGAAATAGTATTTCATGTCCAGCTTGTTTCAGGGCATGTTCAGCGACTGCTGATTTTTCCGGTTTTTTTAGTCTGCAGTGTCTCTCATGTTCTTTGATTCTGGTGTGGATGCTACATTTTGTGGTTCCAATATATACCTGGCCACAACTGCACAGTATCCGGTATACTTCTGCAGTGGTGAGGGGGTCCCTTTTGTTCTTTGCTGACCATAAAATTTGTTGTATTTTTGTGGTGGGCCTCAATACTGTTTGTAGGTTGTGTTTTTTTCAAAAGTTTCTTCATGTGGACCATAACCCCTTTGATGTATGGCAGAAATACATACTGAGCTTGTTGCAAAGTTTGACCTGTGAATGATAGCAAGAATAAAGGCTGTGGATCCCTGTTGCTCAAATCAAAGATGCATTTACTTCATGATTTCATGGTTCTCAACAGTGCACAGAACCAATTGTAGACATACAGAGTTAAACTCTTGCTTGTAATCAAAAACCCCTATCAGAGTGTTTGATCAATTAGTGCACGGGTTCCTTTCAGCTCTGCCTGCATCAGTTAAAACAGCTGATTAGCAGTGTTTGTTTTCCTTTCCAGGTAGTGCTTCAGGGATCCAGTGTATATACAATCAAAGTGGCCAACTTCTCTTTGGGAGAAAGATTGCCAGTGCTACGAGAGGTCAGCAAGCTCCATGACTCCTTGTTGTTTGTCACAGGAAATAAGGTAAGGGATGTGGACTCCTTAAACCTGACAGCACTTGGACTGAGATCTTTAAGGAAGAACTGGTGATATCTCTATTTCTTGAAGGGAGGTTTATTCCAGACATACTTTCTTTGCATCAGAACAAAATGTTGAAGGCGCAGTCTTTACAGTCAGTAATCTAATATCTTACACCCAGTGTAAATGTTCAGGAAAATATAGTGACAGAGGCGGCTTCTACGTGTTCAGAAGGCATAGGCATGGCAAGGGAGAAATCATATTTATTCAATGCTTCCATCATTTCTAAATGCAGAAAACTTCAGAGTAAAAGTTATGTGTTGTGAGGTGTTTCCAGTTAATGGAGACGCTGTGAATTAGTGCCCTCCAGAAAAGGTTATTAACAGGCCTGTTCAGGTCTTTTTTTTTTGCTTGTGCTTTCCATGTTTCCTTAGCATTGTTGTCCTTTTCGCTTAGTCTTTTCTTCACTGTGTATGCCCAACATACTACAGCTTGGGTTTACTCATTTAATTTCTATGGGGATTTGTTCAAAAATCAAGTTATATGTATTTCTGGTGATCCATAGTATCTGTAAAATACTCCTCAGGTGGCACATTTTGAATAAATCACTTTTTACCTGGCAGCTTTCTTCATTTTCCAGCGTTCACATCCATACAGTGGTGCCTCGCATTGCGAGCGCTTCATTTGACGACGAAATCGCTTTATGTCAATGTTTTTGCGATCGCAAAAGCAATCACAAAATGATGTTCCCTATGGGAGAATTTCGCATTGAGATGATAGGTCCTCTGTTTCGGTAACTGATCATCGCAAAGCGATGATTTTCGCACAGCTGACCGGTGGTTTCAAAATGGCCGGCAGGTAAAAAAAATGGCACAGATTCCTTGCTGCACGGGCAGCAAAAATGGTCATGTTGTGGAGGATCTTTGCTGGACGGTGAGTTTGAAGCCCCTAGGA